TGTAAGCAGGGGCTGAACTGCTGCTTGCTGTCAGCCAGCTGAAAGGAGGGGTGGGTGTGCCCACTACAGTTGTTTAGCTCTACAAGGTTGTTAACTGTTAACTGTTGACATGTAAATACTGCTCAGGAGAGAATCCAAGGTGTGGCTATGTAAAGCCCATTCAGCCAGGGCTGATGGAAGGTCAGTGTTGGAATGGAATGTGGAGAATTGTATATAATTTGGAACTGTTGTGGGGGTAACTAATCATGCTACCCCTAAATGTGGGAACTGTAAAACATGCCACCAGTTCTTGCAGGAGAGACACCACCAACATGGGAAGAGGTCTCAGAAGAATAAGCCTCCCCCCTTCCAGAGTTGAGTGAACTGAGCTGGGGGGAAAGGGTTAAGGGGTTTGAGTCAGCCTGCTTCACATGTATGTTTAGGTGTTACCTTGCCGTTTCTGCTCAGGTTTCAGTGTCTAAGGCAGGGATGGGAAACCTTTTTTGGGTAGGGGGTCACTGACCCCCAGAGAAATCAGCCAGGGAGCCACACACAAGTGAGAAGAAAAGTGAGAAGCCCTTGACTGAGAAGGAGAAAGACACTCTCCACATTCCTCCTGCACACCAGAGGCTGGGGGAGCAGGCTAGTAGATTTTATGTGCTCCAGCCCTGCAGGTGAGTAGCACGGGACCTGGAACACCAGCATGGGCTCCCCAATGCTGAGCCTTGGGGGCCAGATCCAGGCAAACTGGGGGGCTACGTCCAGGCCCCAGGCCTAAGGTTCCCCACCCTCAGTCTAAGGAAACCACAAAGACCCAAGGAGCAGAGTGGCACAGTCCAAAGCACACGGTGCTTCACTCTCCATTTTTTCATGTGTTCATTTTATTTTCTGTCTTTCTTATATCCTACTCCTTAACTTTAACTACTATAAGTTCTGTGCAGTAGGAATCACTTCGTTTGTTTGTTTTGTAAAATGCCCAGCATATTTTGGACACAGTAAATAATTAATTGCCATCATTCAAAATAATTAGTATAGGGTTTAGAAAAACAGTACTGAAAGGATTCATGGTGAACCAAAGAATTTTGATCAGGGATGGCAAGGTTCAATACATGATAAAAAATGCATAGATAATTTATAGTGCAACCCCATAGACTCCATGAAAAAGCAAACAAAACAAAACAAAAAAGAAAGAACAGAAAAACAACATCTGCTGTTGCATCTGTTACGCATTTCTGCAACACTTTTACTCGAAATCTAAAATTAAATCCAGGAAATCTGACAGGTAGGCAGCCAGATTCATTCTACACAATATCTAGGATGAAAATATCCTGATCCAGCCAGTGCCTTGAGAATGACAGGGTAAATCAAACCCAACCAGGCCAGAGCAGAAATTCCTAGTGTCTACAAATACATTCCCAACCAGCTGAACTCCCCCTAAAGTTGGTAAGACAGTGGGGAAACTTATCTGACACTTGTTTATGGTCAAATTGTACATGTGTTTCTTTCTGGAGAGATGGAGGGTGTGTGCCTTGCTGGAACTGGTTCCAACCAGCCTTAAATGCGATTCAGCGTCCACTCAGTGTGGACACACTATTTTGAAATAGCAAAATGCTATTTCGAAATGCATTTTGTGTATAGACGCATTATTTTGAAATAAGCTATTTCGAAATAACTCTAGTGTAGACATACCCATAACGAGACCCAAATTTCATCTAATTAAGCCTTCTTTTGGGTACACTTCAAGACCTATTTTGTCTTGACCCACAGCAATCTGATGCAACACTCTGTAGATGCTGTACTACTCTACCACCTTATACCCATCTCACTCTTCTTTGGGAGAGGGCAAATGTTACAGTATAAAAATAAAATAATGTTTATTCTTAGATATCACCTTCTGTCCCATATTCTGAAAGGACTTTAGAAATTTTGCTTCATTTCTAAAGCACCTGGAAATAGGCAAGTATTACTGTGTCCATTTTCCACACTGATGGAGAAAGATGCCAAAGACTCCAGGGATTAGACTGAATGCAGAGCTGGCGCCAGGCAGCAGAAAACAGTATTTCTCCTGTACATTAATAAGACACCAATGTCTATTTGAAATCACTCACTTTAATCACCCATCAGTTGATTATGACTACACAAAGCTGCAGACTCTGGATGGTACAATATTTTCTTCTGAGATACTTAAGCCTTGTGGAGGTGGTGGTGGAGGAAGCCAGAATTTAGTTCTCACAGCCCCTATTGTTCTGAGATTATTCTGTGGTTTTCCCATCACTGGGGAAAGCCCCTTGTGCCCATATTAGCTTCTCAGCATTCAGAATAGTGGTATCAGAAGGCTAATTTCCATTCGCTGTGCTTTCCATGTGTGACTCTCTTTTTCAGCCAGGGGTGGAACCTGCTATTTTTTTATTGGTTCTTATTTCCTCACTGCTCCAAAATGGTGCAAGAAGTTTTATAAACATATAACTAGACACATCCCTCTTGCTATGATCTTATAATGGAAGGCCCCAATTCTAAAGTGTGTTCTGTCTCCTTTTTGCTGCTCTGATAGCATAGAGGGACTGGAACTCAGCAGGGAAATCTAATCAAAATGGCCCTACTCTGCCCCAACACAAAGATCAAGGCATAACAGGTGGCTTAAGGATAAAACTGGAACAATACCAAGCTCTTATATGAATGTTTAATTTAATCTGGAATATTTTTCTTCCAAAAATTAAAAAATGATTGATTTTGATTTTGATAAAATTCTTTCAAAATATTTAATCAGCTGTAATAGTAATAATGAACACCTTGCACTGAGAAAGTCCCTTTCACCTATGGTCTGAGATTCCTTTAATCAGCTTACAGTGGATGGGCCATTGGAATAGGATTCAGGAGACCCGAGTTCCATTTCCAGCTCTGTCATTGACCTATAACAGAAATCTGGCCAAATCACTCGACCTGTCTAGACTTCTGTTCCCTCTTGGCTACGGAACACCCCAACACTGAGGTAGTTGGAAGACGTAATCAACCTATAGTGGAAATTGGGAACACAAAGCACCTAAACTACAATACCCATAGTGGCAGCATTTCTGAATCAAAGCTTTTACCCAGAAACTTTCGGGAGTTGATTTTTTGCTTAAAAGCCAAAGTTTTCCATGGAACATCCCTCCCCCTTCACTTTTCTCATCTGCTCTAATATTAAGTAAATTGAAGTCAATTCAGACAAGAGCAAGAAAAATAGAAATGTAATGTCCAACCTTGAAAAGCATTATTAGCATGAGTCGTCCTTATGCCAGCAGGTATAGGAGTCCCATTAACTAAATGGGACTCACTGCATGAGAAGGACTTAGGTGGAGGTGTGGCTTTGTAGAACTCAGTAGGAACCTTAATAGAAATTCCATTAAATTCCCTTCATATGTTTCAGCTGATCTCTCCTAATTTCTACTAGGCTTGCCAATTCTGTAATATTTAAAAATCAGACACTCCAACAGGAGTGCCAGAATTTCCCCTTCCCCATTCTTTTCTCTGGAGGACCTGCCCATTCCCCCCAGGCCTTATCCCAGCCTTGCTTCTTCCCCGAGAGCCTGCTCCTGCTCTGCCCCTTCCTTCTGAGGCCCCACCCTGATTCAATCCTCTTTCTCCCTCCCTCTGTCACTCACCGCTTTTCCACTTTGACTCCCTCCCTTAATGGAAGGGAGGAATGGGTCAGGAGGAACCAGAGCCATGGCTAGGAGCTGCAGATGCAGGTAGGAAGTGGCTCTGGCTGGGTAGAGGATGGCATGGGTATTGGCATGGTGCCTTCATGCCTCTTCTACCCATAGTTACCAGACTTTGGGTGTCCAGTCAGTAGATTTGAGCAGACACCATCAGCTGCCCTTTTCGACTAGACTTTCTGGTTGAAAATAGAACACTCGGCCATAGTAGTTTCTTCTGGTCATTGCTGGTGTGTACTAAATGTTGTCTCTCAAAATTTAGTTATCAGCTGGAAGCAGATAACAATTTCAACTAGAGTTTCCATTAGGGAAAATAGGGTGATTTCCCCCTCTAGATTGTCAGTTGGCTCTAAAATTTCAATAACTTCCCAGCATCACAGAATGTATGTGTTCCCTCCTCCTCCTCTCTCTATTTTTTCTGATTTGCATTATCATGTGCAAAATATATCGTGATGCGCTGTTTACCCCAGCAGTTCCAAAGCAGCGTCTTCTATGAATTCAGCAATTAAATCATTAGTAATACATATGTGTGGCATTATCTTATTTGTGGAATCTTTTGAAAGTGTGTGTGGGGGAGAAATAAGTGAACATCATTAACATGAACAGATTGTTGTCCGTGGGACTGTGAAAATAGATCTGGCAAATGTCTGAAAACAAATGGTTAGATGGGGCCCTGACTAAAATCACTTGCAATTCAAACTGAAAGTAAAATACACAGACTATATGCAATGCGTGTATGTCAGGCAAAGTCTATATTAGGAAGCAAAACTGAAAGTAAACAGTTAAAATGACTCCTTTACAGGCCCTTCGTCTATACAATCTCATTTCTGTACTTCATCTAAATACCGTTAGGATTTTTCGCCTCCTCCCCCTTTTGGCTCTAATGTTACAGAAAAAAGCTGAAATGAATTTTAAGACTGCGGAAGGCTGTTCTGAGAAAAAGGATGGTTGATGGTTTTGTTGTTAATCATAGAATTATTGAAATGTAGAGCTAAAGAAGACCTTGAAATGTCATTTACTCCACCCATTTGCTGAAGCAGGTTCAAAACAAAATAATGTCTCCCTAACGACCTTGCCCCAACTATTTTCCAAAAGGTTCAGCCAGAGGCAGACACCCAGCATAGAAAACTTCAGCCCAAAAAATTAAAGTCTGGCAAAGTTATGAGCAACTGAAACAGGATCTTATGATGGGAAGTGACAAGCAACCTCAATAGTAGGTAATCCCACCTATAATAATTTTTCAATGGAGAATGAGCAGCTTATGGGTAATCAATCCACCACATTTTTTGCAGTAAAATTCATTTAATTTTTTTAAAATATTTGGAGGAATAGCAAAAAGTCTTGACCCCTCTGACTCTCTTTTATCTAGATGTGAAGCTAAAAATCTTGTACCAGTGGACTTTTTCCAGATATTCTTGCTCTGGCTAGATTTCAGCTCCTTTGCTGACCCTAGAAGATGCAAAATGTTCTGTAAGTAAAGATGGTGATTTTTTTTCCCCTGTGGAAAATTTTGACCTTTTGCCATAAAGCCCAGAATTGAAAAAATGTCCAATAATTTTCTGTCGTCAACTTTTCAGCTTTCCAATCAAAAGATGAAATTTTCTGAGGAAAGCAGACAGTTCCACACAACATTTTCAATTGTTCCACACAACAGCTTTTTATTTGTAAAAGAGAAGTGTTGATCAGCCCTACCTGGAAGGCATTGTTTCCAGCAATGTGTCATGTTATGAGGCAGGCAGAAGCCAGGAAAATAGGGAAGTCCATGTGGTTATTACAAAGGTGAGTACTTCGTTGATCAATAACATGGAGGTGACATGGGAATGCTACTGCAACTTCTGGGTGAAGTAAGACTTAGAACTTCAACTCTGTGTGCTTTTAAGCTCTCAATGGAATATGAAGATGGTGTTGAGGGAAAAGATGGCTTTAATGCATCTTTATGCCTTTAGGATCCTGGACTATAAAGGGACTTTGGCCTGCTCTGCCATGTGGTGAAGTCTAGACTCCCCTGATGTGGTATGTCCTATTGCCCCATTTCCTTTCATCTTGTCACCCCCGTTCCCCCCCCCCCTTTTTTTTTTTTTTTTTTTTTTGCATTTTCACTGTATTGAAGCTTACATCAGATTTTCTACTGGGGCAGTTCTACTCTGGTTCCCTGAAGTCCCATTTCAGACCCTGTGTTCTTTCTATGAGGACTGTCCTGGTGTGTATGGTGGGAACTGGAGCTTGCAGTTAACCTCACTCATGTCCTTCAGTAAGGGTGAAAGAGGTTTCACTTCCCAGTTGGGGCTGCTGCTTATTCCCTCCAATCTGATCTTTGCTTATTTCTTCTACTTCCAGTTCCCTGTCCTCTCTCTCACCACTGATTGTTCCCTCTGTCTTTTTTACAGCTGCTTCTTTACAACTCTTCAGGAGGAAACAGCTGCCATTTGTCCTTTCTTGGATCAGCATGCTTGTATGTCCCTTGTTTCTCCACATGCTAAGCACTGCAAGCAAAACCTTTAGCACACTGAGCTTGGCTCCAGTCAATGGAAAAGTTCCTATACATTTCAATGAGAACTAAATCGGGTCCTCTGTTTCTTTCTTCCCTTTCCTTCCTAATGGCTTGTCCTCCTGCTGCTAAAAATGAGCCACCAACCCTTGGCAAAGGGCTCCTCTGTGACTTTAGCAGAGAAAGAGGAAACTAAGCTGAAATAAGCAAGACACAACCTTTATGTATTTATAAGTCTGCGAGCAGGGCTGGATTAAAAATAGGAGTATTAGGGGCTGCAGCCCAAGGCAAAGGGGGACCCCACAAAAAGATCTCCAGGCTACCAAATGTCTAAATCTTTTTGCGGGGCTCTCTTAGCCCAGGGCCCTGTGCTGCAGGTCTTAAAGCCCCCCTGTGTGTTATCTGGCCCTGCCTGGCTGGGGAGGGGAGGCTCCGGGTGCTGCCATTCTCCCTCCCAGTTGGACTGGAGCCATGTTGCTGTGAGCACTGGGGAGGCTCCCTTTCCATGCTGCCCTCACCTGTAGGCTCAAACCCACTGTTTCTATTGGCCAGGAATCATGGCCAATGGGAGCTGTAGGGATGGTGCTTTGCAGGCGAGTGCAGAGTAGTGCAGGCCACAATGAGTCATATATTTCCCCCCTGCCCACACACACACCAAAGGTAAGTGCTGTGCTCCCAAAACCTTGCCCCAAGCTCTGCCCTGTGTCCTAACTCCCTTCTGGACCCCCACGTCCCAACCCTGAGCCCTAGCCTTGAGCCTGTTCCAGCACCCTAACTCCCCACAGCCCACAGACCCCACAGCCCAGCCTTCTGTCCTAAGGCCCCTCCAGCACTGTAAACCCCTTAGCCTCAGCCTGGAGTTCCTTCCTGCATCCCAAGATCCTCAGCAGCAGCCCCACTCCAGAGTCTACACCTTCAGCCAGAGTCCTCGTCGCTTTCCACAACCAACCTCCTACTTTAACCTTCAACTCCCTCCCACACGCTGAACCCCTCATATTTGGCCTCACCCCATAGTCTAGGGTGAGCCACAAAATCGAATAACCGCTGGCCCCCTGAAGAGTTAATCCGGCTTTGCCTATGGAATGTGGAGGGAGTAGTTGCTGGGAGAGCTGTCTGCTTAATTTTTTCTTGATGAAGCTGAAAACCTTGGCCATGGGTGTGCAGGGAAATGTTTCAATAAAGGGCAAGTGGGACATAACTTTTTGTTTTCTCAAGCAAGTTCCTGAAGTGGTTTCCTGCTCCAAAAGGACCCTCAAGCCACAGAAGCATCGAGCACCTCCCAATTACGATTCATTGCACAGACAAAGTGCATTTGGAACAACTGTGTTTTAAAAAATTCTACAATGCTACAAAAGTGACCACGCTAACTCTATCAACTTTTGCATAGCCTTCTAATCATTAGACCTTCGAGTGGAGGAGGGGCCAGTCCCTTCTCGACAGTCATGGGAAATGGAGAATGATTAAATCATAGGCTTTGCCTGTCAGCAGAAATGTAAAAATGTCAAACATGAAAAAAGCATTTTCATAGTGGGTGATGTGTTTTCCCCTCCCCCCCAGCTACAGCAGTATAAGAAGGCAGCACAAGGTTTATATTAGTCAACCACATTTTTGTGCTATGCATTTTGAACCAAAATAATCCCAAAAAACCTGCCAATCTATCAAAACTCTATAATTTTTGGTGGGTTTTACAGTAAAAATCCCACTATAGTGGTCCTACTCAGGGACTAGCATACTGCCCAGGATGAGCAGTACACTGTGGCCCTTAAGGTATAAGTCAGTGTTTCCTAAACTTTTCCTAAACTTTTTAAGACCAAGGAACACCAAACAATATTTTTTTAATGAGAAACACCAGGAATTGTTTGTTGAGAAAATAAAGGCTGGGGGGGGGGGCGTTGTAAGACCAAGGAACACCAAACAATAATTTTTTTATGAGGAACACCAAGGATTTTTAACTTTGTTGTTCTCCGCGGCACACCTCCAACTGCTTCACAGCACACCAGTTTAAGAAACACTGGTACAAGTGACTTGCTGCTACCATGATAAAAAATTATCTTCTTGCTGCAGTTCAGTAGTCGATTAACCGAATAATCGATAAGTAAAAGCTTATAGGTTAATGCTATAGACTATATACATTCCTTCTCCCCTACCCCGCCCTTTGCCAGTACATTTTTTAGCAGGCTGGCCAGCAGCCCAATTCAGTCCTGGCTCACACCAGGTCCAGGATCTATCCCTGCTGCAGCTCTGCATTTAAAGTGTACTAGGAGTCAGGCAGGCAGACAGCCCAGCTCAGTTCTGGCTCACACAGGATCTGGGAGCTTAGCCCCACCCTTCCCCCTTGGATAGAAGCTGCTCCCACTCCACACTGTGTAGCAATGCAGGGCAACAGGCAGCCAGTCCACTGGGGAGCTGGTTTTTAAACTGGCTCCCCTCGTGGACCAGCTCCTGTCTGGCACCCCACACTGTTGCCTCTGATACAGAGGCAGAAGCGTGGAGTGGCAGGGGACTCCTTGGGAATGGGGACAGAGCTCACTGGCTACCAGCCTTGTTCTATTATACAATAGTCGACTAACCGATAAAAATTCACGAGATTAATCAACTATTCAATTAACCAATATTTAACATCCTTAGTTCAGCATTGGCCATGTGATGAGCCAATGTGATCCTTCCACCTTTCCTTGCTCTGAGTAACACCTTTACCTGGCAAATAGCCCTGCTTAAAGCAACACAACCAGACACATAGGGACCAGGTTCTGATACCCTTATTCACACTGGCTGTGTCTACTTTGGCATCCCTTTCCGGAAAAGGGATGCTAATGAGACACATCGCAATTGCAAATCCACAGGAGATTTAAATATCCCCCGCGGTGTTTGCATTTACATGGCTGCCGCTTTTTTCCGGCTTGGGGATAAGCCGGAGAAAAGTGCCCGTCTAGACGTGATTCTCCGGAAAATAAGCCCTTTTCTGGAGGATCTCTTATTCCTACTTTCAATAAGAGATCCTCCGGAAAAGGGCTTATTTTCTGGAGAATCACGTCTAGACTGGTGCTTTTCTCCGGCTTATCCCCAAGCTGGAAAAAAGCGGCAGCCATGTAAATGCAAACGCCGTGGGGGATATTTAAATCCCCCGCGGATTTGCAATTGCGATGTGTCTCATTAGCATCCCTTTTCCAGAAAGGGATGCCAATGTAGACACAGCCTTTGAGTTCATTGAGTTCAATGGGGCTAAATGCGGACGAAGGTATTTCACAATGTGCGTTAGGGTATTAGAATCTTGCATATTATTATGGGACTATTGAGCAAACGTACCAGTGGAAGAATCTGGTCTGTAAAGAAGGGTTTGGGTGGGCTGAAGAGACAGTACTGGCCCGGGAGCTGTGTGCTGTATTAAGCAGCTTTAATATGTCAGGGCAGACTCTGACAACTTTTCTCAGATGGAGTAATATCTTGCTCCATGATTAAGTCCATTGGCCCCAAGAAAAGAAGAAGAGGAAACTGTGGCAGGGCTGCCGATAGCCAGCATATGCTTTTTGTAGTTAAGGCTCCACCTGTTTCCATGCTCTCCCATCCATACCTGCCTAGCTGTGCTTAGGAGTAACTCAGCAGAGCCTCCGACCCTCTTATGTCACCTTACCCTGGTGAACGGTGCATGGCCAGGCCATGGTCTGGCCCAGGGTAAGAAACTATTCAACCTGACTCAGGGGGGCAGAACCTGGCTCATAGCGGTCAGAACTTTTATGCTGACTATTCACATATGAAATGTTGTAAATAAGCAGGAGTATGAGGCTGGTGCTTTGAAAACATAATAAAGGAACCTATTCACAATGTATCCAACATATTTGCTAATTACATGAAGGCTACTTTCAACAAGACGAAAAGCTGTGAGGTTATTCTCGGGGCAGAACCAGTGTATGTTTTGTTAAGTGGCCATGGGAAAGCAAAGAATCAGTTTTTCACAATGTACATTTCACTGTTGAATTCATATCCTCTGTGATATTATGGGTGATGGCTTAGAGTCTGAGCCTTTTTCACTAATGTAAATGGCATTTCTGGTTGCCTTTGATTGAGCTGTAGTTGTTCTCTGGTCAGTCTAATAAACAATTCTGCATAACCTATGCATTTGGAAAACCCCATATTAATTACTGACCTGCCCCTTTGGCTTTCTTGTCATGCAATTTACTAAAACTAGCAGTGTCCTTGTAACTCTAAGGTAACAAGTGGAAGCCCTTTTTCCCCCCTAATTGTTCTACTGGTTTTACAGTTACCAAGCTATAAAGC